GACATTCATTTTTGACACTAGCGCAATTTAGCGCTTTGCTGATGAGCCTGGTAAGGAGATGTTTCGTTATGATAACGGATAGCGTAACGGATAGCGCACTCGCCCGGAAAGCGTGAGGTGCGGGTTCGACTCCCGCCTGGGGCACGACTTTTGCCCACAACTCAGCATTCTTGTGATAACATTCCTGGAAGGAAAAGTAATTCCCTACCTCCCTACCTCAGCCTTAGCAGAACGCAGAGGATCAAAGTGCCCTACATTGGCGCCAGCGACAAAAACAAATGCCTTATTCGTGATCAGGATTCGGATAACTCCCGTACACAAGTTTACACCGATTTTGGTGAGAGGTAATGGCGCCGAAGACGCCCATTGGTGCGGAATGGCGCCAGCGCCAGAAATGGGTATCATATTCGTAACCAGGGTACTGGATCACCTCTGCAGGCAAATTTTCAGCGAAAAATTTTTTCAGGGTTTTTGGAGTAGTAATAGTGGAATAGTGCTCACCTGCCTGCAATAACCCAGTGTTGAGACGTTTCAGGTTGGTCCCTGGTTTTAGCTTCTTAGCGAACATTTATCCAGTGAACGGAAATAGCCTCGACGGCTAGAGTTCCATGTGGTGACCGGCGCTTGCAGTTCGGTTTGCTCACCATTTATCGAGCAGCTTCGCACACAATATCGTCAGTCCTGCACGCACGATTTCGGGCTTCTACCCCTTTCGGATCAATTTCTGTTCACGCCTACGCTATCAACTTGTTTTCGTGAAATATTTCAGGTTTGAAAAAAGGAAAAGGAAATTTCTATTTCGAAAGTCTTTCTGAATAATTCTCTCGTTCTCCCTCTATATTATTTCTAGCAATAAGTTTTTGTTCTGAAGAAATTTACGTTCAACGAAAATGGTAGAGGATAATGTTGAGCACTCCTTTCTGGAAAAAAATTGACCAATGGACTTCTTGACCAACCACCTTATGTATTCACAAGCTCCTTCACGTTTGCAAGCATATTCGCCATTTTTTAAAGAACATATTCAGCACAGAAACCGAGAACAATAAAAATTTCCCGATTCTTGAAAGCCACGTTTTAAATTCTATTTAGAATTCGGAAGCTTATTTCGCGTTCATAATGATGCACAGGTTTTCGTAGTTTTCACCTCGAATTATTTCAGTTCTGTTGAACTTTATGTGCTAGAACGTGCAGTTGCTATCGTTGCAGTCGGGGCGGTGTCAGGAAGGTGGAATTGAGGAGCCCGCCCCGGCTGCCTTTTCCACCAACAATGATCGGCTAGTGGTCCATGTGAGAAGAAAACCACCAGTGGTAGAGAACACCGCGGATGGATTCATTCCATGCGTTCTGACCCAGCTCCGACGGATTTCGACGATATCAACTGTGGCTGAAGGGGGGAGGGGGGGGAGGGCGGAGAGACCATTCGGCAGTGTTTCTGTGTTCCTTCCACGAGCGAAGGGCTTGGGCTTAGTTGCAATCATGTCTTGTCTGCGTCCTGCGGAACAATCGTCGAGCTAATCTGATCTCTGCTTTCGGAGCCGTGGATACGGGAAAGGACAAACAGGAGCGGTAAAGTGCCCCCCCCCTCTCCAACTACATTAGGGCCTGTTCCTTCGTGGCTTTCGACCATTCGGAATCGCCCAATTACTGGTGAAATAGAGCCATCGGAATGTCAATGTGTCCTTCGTTAATCACATTTCAATGAGGAAGCAATGCGTGACAGCTCACCATGTGAAGGCAGTAAACATCTGATTCTGCTGCTCTGTCATCTCCTTTCTTTACGTCCATATTGCTCATTTGTTTTGTCCGCACTATTCAACTATTACTGCCCCGATCTTCCGAAATCAGGCCAGTTTTTTAGCGGCTTTTCTCTGCGAGGGCAGATCTGGCTGCAAATTTCTTACTGGAATAGTTTCCTCCTGAACAAGGATATCCCATCCGCTTGGTCTGAAACTGCCTGGCGCCCGCGCCAAAATATGTACCCTCGGTCCCCAAAATCGATGAAAACTTGTATACATAACTTGCTTGACATCCTGAATACGAATATGACATTAATTCTTGGCGCTTGCACTGACAGAGGGCAGTGCGATCATCTGCGCTCTGCTAAGGCTAAGCCGAGTTACTCCGCAAAGTTTTACCAGAAAATTTTCTGAGTTTCTGGGGTGGTAATACTTAAAAGTGCCCTTCCTTTCATAAAATAACCCTGAGGAAAACCACTCCTTCTGCCAGGCTCAGAATGAGCACAACCGCCAAATTCCCCTGCTGTTGGAAAAAGGATGTCATTTTCGTGATCAAGCATCAAACAAACTTATTATGCAAGCTTTTATCGAAGCTGATGGGAAAGGAACTCCCGCCAAACTGGTGGCTTAATTCACGCATGAATTTTAGGACGTGTAAAATATGATTGCCATTTTGTCGATCAAACTGCACGAGCTAACTCTAATTTACACCGGTGCTTGATGAGAAAAAGTTGAGCAGAAAAATAGCGCCATCGCTAAAAGCTGACGTTATTTATCGTGATCGGGCATCGAAATAACCTGTACAGGCCAAAGTCAGCAAGAAAATTTTTCACAGTCTTGGTAGTGATAGTTGAATAGTACCGTTATATCGAGCCAGGGCACACATTGGTTCCCGGCGATTTCACGGTCGAGCCGGTAGAGAGCACGGGCAGCGTGAATCGTAATTTGTCACTCGCGTGCGCGTGCGCCGTGGATGCCGGAGCTTTTAGTTAACTCGTTTTGCACGTCGACTCTGGAGCACCGCACCTTCATGTAGGACGCACATTCGTAGACACTCATGACTAGTTCCGGTCTGAATTGCGTTGTCGCCAATCGTGCGACCCTCGAAGCATCGACATTTGCGCGGTGGACTACCAATAACGATTATTCAAGTAAGGGCGCAACGTGTGCTCACAAAAAGAATATTAGGCGTGGGTTCATTGCGATGGGCGAGTAGTCGACCACGGGCTCGCAACCATATTCGACGCGCGTTACCTGAAAAAAGCGGTCGCAGCCGATTTGCCGACATATGCCTTGCGTTGCTGTAACAGAAGCGTGAACTATTTCAGGTATAATGCACTGCAGGAAGTCGAACTAAACTATTGTTGGAGCAAAAAAAAAAGCAGACCTTTTTGTCAAAAAATTGTTATTGAGCTGAGAGGAAGAATGACAGTTTTCGTTCTGTTCCGAAACTAAGGTTTCCATGATTTTTTTCCTATGCTATAGTCTAATCCTATTCCACTGGTAATCAGAGCACCAATCGTCCTGGTAACCAGAAGTTCGAATGCGTGAAAGTTGAAAAGATCAAATCATTGTTGCTGAAACGCGAAAACCATTAAATGCAACAATTCAACCTACTTACTTACTACCCCAAAAGTTCCATATCAGTTCGGGGTCCAATCACTAAACATCACTCGTTGGGCCGCTGGCGTTGAATTGCCGTTCAGTTAGGCGCAGCCACCTTTCCAGCAAATTGTAAATTTGGCAATAGTATGGTTATTTGATGTCCTGATCGCGATTACCGAATTAGTTTTCCTCCTTGACACCGACGCTGACTTGGATCCACACCCTTTTTCATCAAAATTGATAAAAACGTGCACAATGGGTTTCTTGTTGCCTTGATACGAAGTAATGACAATTCACGTCAGCACATTTAACCCTTCTCTAAGGCCGAGTCCTGTGTAGAATACAGTGTTTGTCCTTGTAGTTCAGGCCAGCGAATTGCCGGAGGAGCAGATAATCACAGCATTTTCCATATCAGCCGCCGGCGCCAAAACATGAATTGATATATGCAATCAAGATGTTTAAATGGTCTGTATCAAGTTTTTCAGCGGATTTGATAAACTAGTTACTTCCAGCCCAGCGCCAACAATACCCCTACGTCAGGCCAAGTGGCTCGTGCGATGTTCAAGTCAGATGAAGCGTCAATTACTCTAGAACTCAACCTTAATCCAAATCTGCCCACGCAGAGAATTAATAATGGGAATTAAGATCCGGCCTGTCCTTGGAAAACTGGGTTTGTTTTCCAGGTAGAGCGCGTCAAATATGGTGTGAGTCCGCAGCCGACTATCGCAATGCATTCAACTCGAGCCTAAATTCTTTTGTTGACCACTTGCGCCCTGTACTCTGAAAAAATGCCGTTATTGATGGCGATGCGCACGGTCGCATGCGACACCTACCAGTTACGATTCACTTGTCACGTACCCGTACGACCTTCGCCCTCCCCCTGAAAGGCGGCTTGATACGACCCCTCACTTAGTTCCCTCCTCATGGAGCTGTCGAGCAGGGCATATATCGTGCATATGAATATACAGCGTCCGCGGAACAAGAAAAACCAGCTATAAAAAATCCTTTTCTTCAGACCAAATACGACCCCCACTGTTGAGGAATCGCAACGATGATGTGACCTGGTCCGAGCGCTGCACAATATCGAGACCACTGCTAAAACAACGGTTGCATTTCATCAATAAGTTTCAGTGACTACGACGACGCAGCGAAATCTTGCACATTCGTACGTCTGCGGGTGGTTGGTGCGGCTACACGCAAAACACAGGAGACCAATTAAAGGTACGGCTAATGAAGGGTTTTAATTTTACTCATTTTAATTGGTTTCCTATATATCTTTTGATTACTTGGAAGTCGAAGGGACTACATAACCCCTGATGAAACTGTTGTCCAGCCCGTTTAGAATGGTTAGTTTCATGCTCCCTGGTTTGAAACGGTTACATTTTCCTTTTTTTTGTTACTGTACCCAGAATTCAACAAAACCAGTTTCTTGATCTCTGCACAGTTCAACCGTTGGGCTACGTTACATTGCGTTGTATATTCGCTACACTTATTTCGGTTCCTCGTGTGTACGCAGACGGTTTTCCTATCGACTTTTTATGCAATCTTACGCAGTTTCAGAAAAGGTTCCGCCATTCTGTTTTTTGCTGGAATTTGTGTGACCGTTAGAAGTGCGGCTAGGCCTTTAGCTACGATGGCTTCCAATTCTATAGCATCGTCAGGTTTGTTTCAACTTTTCACTTATATGTGAACAGTTCTGTTGTGATGGTCGCAGATCTTTCTTCGACCTTCTAACTCGACTTCTTTTAGGTTTAGTTAAAAGAACTCAAAAAGAATGGGCATTACCCACAAATTCTCAACCTCTTCCCCAGCTATATCTCTACAATAGTCTCAGCCGTCGCAAGGATCTATTTGTTCCAAACCAAGGCAACGTAGTAAGTTATTTTATTTGATAGTGGCTGTTTAACGCCACAATTCATGCTCCGAAAGTTATCACGAGAATGCTGAAATATGGCCAAAATTCTTGACCCGAGATGGGATTCTTCCTCGCCCCGGTGAGTGCCTGAGAGGGTTAGAGAGGCTCTCGGGCTTTTGTTAACCGTATGTACTCTAGCTGCCAGGGTCCAGAGGTATTTCCTCATCACATCTTTTGGTTGAATATTTGAAGGGAGCGAAATAAGGAAGGGGAAGAGGGAAGTAAGGAGGAGGAAGCAGGAGGCTTCGCTGTTAACAGATATCCTGTAAGAGCGGTGGTTTAATGGATAGCGCAATGGACAGCACAGTAAGTTACCTTTACATTTTTATATCGTTCTGTAACTTACTCGGCGCTCTCCTCTTAAAGTTGTGAGGACGTCACGTTTGCTCAGGTGAAGTGGTACATATGTGGGCCGACAGTTTACGATAGTTCTCATATGGGCCATGCAAGAACCTATCTATCAGTAGACATCCTTAGACGAATAATGACTTCCTATTTTGGCTACGACGTACAGTTCATCATGAATATCACTGATATTGACGACAAAATCATAAAGAGGTATTTTATTTCTGAACTCTATTCACTTTATCGTGCTGTAGGTGTGCGTGTTTTGACAGACAATTAGTATCTTGATTCAGAGCTCGTCAGCGCCATTTGCTCACAAAGTACCTCGAAACTAATAAGAACGCTCCCACCATCGAGAGAATTGTTGAGGATGTCGTGGCAGCTCTAGAGAACTTCAGAGTGAGCCCATTTGTAGTTTTCATTTAATGCAAATGTAAATAATCCACTCACTTTAATATCATGTTAGAGTGGCTCATTTGCAATATCCTTATTTATCACGCGAAAGATTCATTGCTCTAGAATGCGTTCATACTTTGCGTCAGCGTTTCGAGGGTTCCCAGCAATCAGAAATTATAGGTACTGAACCAGCTTTCTGAGCGCTCTGAGCGTCCACCAGCTTTTCTGCGTGCGCCAGCGTTTTGAGCGACAGGAAAGTATAGGTATCAATTCGCGTGTGACCTCCTGTCAGCGTTTTGAGTGTTCCGAACGTAAGAATGTATAGATATCGATTACCGCTGAAAACGCTGGCAGACGCTCAGCATGCTCGAAACGCTGGCTCGATACCTGTATTTTCCTGGTCACTCAAAGCGCTGACAGACGCCAAAAACGCCGCCGCCGAAAGTATGAACGCACTCCTATTATGTTCGTCTTTTATGTGCGCTTGTAAATGAAGCGTGTTGCGCAGCAGGCGCGTAAAATTCACAGGAATGACTTTGCGCGCGACTGAAACAGTCACGGAGGTGGGCCTTTAAACAAGGGTTAAAAACCGAAAGTGTCCTAATTTGAACTTAGCACCTTGGTTTCCATGTATACGTTATTGTTGTAAGTAAATCCTAAAAATTTTACAGAAGAAATACGAGAACGAAACAGACATGGATAAAAAGAAGATGTACGAAACTCTGGTAAGTGAAATACCTTACGCATGATTCGCACTTTTTCAAGGACTTTTAGAACAAACAATTGAATACTCTTTCATAGGTCCTCTCCCTTTTCAAAGGTAGGCGTTGGCATGACTGTGACGGTCTTTACGAGCTGAGGAACCTCTGTGTGGCTGGGTGGCCTGACTGGGAGACTTGCCAATCTTTTATGGCCAAATTTTTCAGCAAGTTCAACAAAGCTTCTTTTCTACTGCGGAGCGATTTTTCTTCGCAATAACGCTAAGCATCACAGAGCAGATATCATAATGGAGACGGGACTTGATTGGGGTGCCTAGGAGTACATTCCATGAAGGCTAAGTTAGACCCAAACGACTGTCTCTCCATGGAACACTTTTTGCGGCAGGAAACTTCTAAAAACGGTTGAAATAGAAATTATCTCATTCCAAAAATCGGGATCTTATCGTCGTCCACTTCACTGACTTTTTCGCTTTAGATTGGAAAAGTTGATGCTTGCGCTCAACTTCTGGAGAATGCGCTGCAGAACAAGGACAATGCAGCTATCAATGATGCTAAAGTGGGTTTATAGGCAGCCATCTTGTTTTCATGTATTTTTGGTGCAACTTTTCTTTCTCTTTGTTGATATTTGTGAATATTATTCAGGATCAGCTCCTGAACGAAGCACGAGATGTTCTTTCTGATTGGTTGGATGGTAAATTTGGAAGCGCGGTCAATGATCACAGCGTGTTTGATAACCTCGCTAAAGCGTACGTGCTTGTGGTTTTTACTGTGTTCTTGATCTTGTTTTTTTTTTTTGCGTGTGTTCTGAGCAACGCTGGTATAACTCTGAATTCTGTAGAATTGTCATGTCATTCTGTAGAACTCATTTTTAGGTACGAAAGCGAATTCCTCCAGGATATGGCACGCCTCAACGTTCTTCCTGCAGACATCGTAACCAGGGTCTCAGAATATGTGCCAGAGATTGTCGCCTATGTGGAAAAAATAATAGCGAACGGATATGCTTACACTACTAATGACGGCTCTGTGAGTTTTCTGTCGAGGTTTGCTTGGATTCGAGGACTGCTCGATTCTACTCAGTACTTATTTCAAATTATTCTACATTTTGGTTTCTCTCTTGTCGGACGA